TTGCCGGGGCTGGGGTGGAGGGACAGCGAGAGGCTGGAGACCACCTGGGCCTTCAGGTCCGTGATGCTGGCCTTCTCCTCCGCCACTGTCACCAGTGTCTCGCCCAGCACTGCCTCCATGAGAGGGGACACAACCTGCAGGGGATGAGGGTGCCTGTCACCGCCTGCCATCTCCAGCCAAACCTGCGGAGGGGGGCAAAGGTGGCCGGGGGGTACCTTGAAGAGTGTGGTGCCCGGCTCCCTCCCGGCCAGCGTGAAGCTGTCCACCATGTGGGCCACCCGCGGGTCATCCACACGCATGAAGTCGCTGACCAGGTCGGTGACCTCCACCAGCCAGTCGGGCCCCAGCATGGTGACCACCTGCCCCGTGCCCTCCGCTGCTGTGGTGTGGAACTGGGTGAAGACCTGCAGCGTGGTGTGCTGGTACTGCAGGGCACAGCCCCGGCTCTGCTTCCGCTCCTCTTCATCCTCCTCGTGCTCGCTGTCCCGCACCGACCTGCAGGATGGGGCAGTGGGTGGGCAGCGTCACCAAGCTCCCCCCTGCCGCTGCTCTTCAGCCCATCCCAGGAAAGGAGAGGGGTGGCCAGGCAGGGAAAAACACAGGGTCTCCCCAAGCATGGGAAAAAACTGGTGGCTCCTGGCCAAAAAGATGCCTGTTGCGCATGAGGTCTTCGAGGGCTTTAGCAGAACTTGGCGAGGGGCGTCACTGGTATCTCTGCCCTCTAACCAGCCAAGAGGACAAGATATCTCAGGTTGGGATGGACACTTGGAGGTCTCTAGACCTCAAAGCAGGGCTAACTTTGGAGTTTTGACCATTGCCAAGGATAGATGTCCCCCACCAGTTCCAGCGTTTGACCACCCTCATTGTGAAATTTTCCTCCTTCCATACAAACATGCAACCTGTGTCCATGATCTCTCACCTTTTCACTGGGACCCCTGAGATGACTCTGGCTCCACCATCTTTAAAACCCCATCATTAAGTAGCTGAACAAAGCAATTAGACCCTCACCACCACCTTCATCTTGCCTTCTCCAGGCTGGACAGACCCCAGGCGCAGTGGCCCCGAAGCACCCACCTCCTGTCCGGCAGGATGGGCACCCTCCAGCCCTTCACTTGGCTCAGCCGGGCGTCCGAGAGCTCGATGTGCAGTGGCAGTTTTGGCACCCACACCGTCATCTCCAGCGGGGCAGAGAGGTGCTCGTAGGTGAAGGTGACCCGGGCGCTCATGGAGCCCCGCGACTCCTTCCCGCTGACAAAGACGTAGTCGCAGCTGCTGGAGACCTGGGGGAGAAGGGAGGATGGGGGGTTGCAACGCTCCCACAGACACACCAGAGATCCTGGCAAGGAGGCTGCCCGGAGGATGGGAAGTGTCAGAGGAGCAGAATTTCACCTGGCATGTACCAGATTAAAGATGGCCCCAGGAGCGGGGATGCTCTCTCCTCCCCAAGGTCCCTGTTCAGAGATGTGGACCCACACAGAACACATCTGTAACATGTACTTCCCCCTGACCCAGCTCCTCTGCCAGACCTTGCAGGCACCCTCATTTGGTGCTTCAGCTTCTTTGGCCCCCGCACCGAATTGTACCCAGTTACTGCACTCGAGCTAGAAGCATACACGGGTGCTTCACAGAGGTTGCAAACTGCTCATCCTGGACATTTGCCCCAAAATCTCCTCAACCCATGCCCAGAGGGCACAGGCAGTGAGCACGGACCAGCCGCATGCCCGTGTGCAGGTACCCACCAGTGCCTCATCCCTGTCCCTCCTGCTAACCCCAGGAAGATCTTCCCAGAGTCCATCTGAATCCTCACGTTCATCTTCTAGCTCTTTCTCTTTTAATTCCCGTTTATGCAAATGCCATTAGTTAAATGTGTTATAAAATAAATACATCTTGTGGGGGCCACTTATTACCGACCGACCCAAGCCAACTAGGGTGCTAAGAGGATGCCACTGCAGCATCGCCCACGTTTTGGCTTAGGCAGTCAGAGTTAACAGCACCTTCTTCTTCCCAGCAAGGGTGGCAGGAGACAGCCAGGCTGGGAAGACTCCAACCTCTCACCTGCAGTGGCCCCATGGCCCAACCCTGACCCCCTTCTCCCCCACACACCATCAGGAATTGCATCCGAGTTGTTTGCCACTGGGGAAAAATAAAACCTGTTTGCTCAGCCAGCAGCACAGTTGCGCTCTCGGATTCGCTGAGCATCTCAACAGCACAGAAAGGCTTATTTCCAAGAAGCTGCTATCCCACGTGGATTCTCTGATGGCTGATAAGGGGTTGAGTCCATCCTGCACGGTAGCTGACAGCGGAGGTGATAGCATCACTGTGTCTCTCCCCACCTTACCTTTGGGCACCTGTGGTCATTCAGCTGCAGGAACTTTGTATTTCCAAGGCCATGAGCAGGGCCTGACTTCTACAAGAGCTCCATGCTTTGGCTGCAGGAGCCCACTGTGAGGCGCCTGCGGTCCCTGGGGCCAGTGGAGGAGGCAGAGCCCAGGACCTGGGCTCCTTGGGAAGTCCCTGCTCCCCAGGCACGGGAGGGAAGTGCAATGCAGGAGGGTTTGTTCCTCGTCTTCCTATCAGAGATACCAGCTCAGCACGTCTGAAAAGACAATCTCATCTCTGGCGGGGCAGCGTCTGAATTAAGATGAGCTCCTGGGCAAACCCTCCAGCAAAGAAGTGCTCTGGATATTGTGCCATTTATCACAATAAATATGATGGGCTGCTGCTTGCATTACCTTAGCTAATAAATCCCCCCGGCATCTTCTTCTGGGGACCACTTGCTTTGCAATTGGGGGAGTTGAAACTATGACAACAAAAAATCCCAGCACGTCAGGCCTGTCCTGATGATGGAGTGACTGCAGATTAGCTTTTAAATGAAGTGCACTCTTGTTCGGAGAAACTTCCCGGATTCGCAGCAAAGCGTCGGGAAGCGAGAGGCTGAGGTCTGCCTGGGCTCCGAGCCAAGGCACCACCGGCTCCACTTCTGCAGCCAGGAGCTCCCCCCTTGGCATGGCCTCAAGCGTGGGATCAAGGGGACACATCTTCTCCAAGGCCCTCAGGAGTGGGAAGAGCCACCATGGCTGGTGGGACCCCATGTTGGCCATCCAGGGGTCCTGGCGGTGGCTGTGGGTGACCAGGGTCCCCGAGGCTCAGCCCCACTGAGCTGACTTGCTCCTGGTGAGTCCTCAAGCAGATGTGGATGGTGGGCTCCTAAGAAATTTCACGTACCAGGTGATGTTGAGCATCTCCCATTGAGCGTCACTGGCGGCAGAGGTGGCCCTTCCACTCCCTGTGTGTCCCTCAACACATATGCAGTCCCCGAGGCCACAACGCAGGCAGGGAAGGGGGATTATTTATATGCTACCTTGGGTGATGAGGTCCTTCTCTCTGGGCTGAGCACGGGCAGTCACCCTGTGTCACCGCAGAAGGGGATGAGGGTGACAACTCCCACCCATACCCGCCCACCATCCTTCACGGGGGGTCCTGGCACCTTCACAGACGTGTCTCCACCAGGTCCAGGACACGTTCCCTCCACGTTACACATGAGAGCAACCACCACTGAGCCACAGGCAGTATGGGGAGAAGCAGCTCCCCAGCCCTCCTTCATGTTAAATTATTTACAGTAACAGATAGCGCATCCCACTATGTAAGCTTTGATTTATGTAACAGGTTTATATCCCTGACACTGTAATCATACTCCCCAATCTCAGCAGGTAACTGAGAGCTCCCTTGGAAACGAAGCTCCGGCACAAACACAAAACTCAGCGAGAAATTGCACGGGGCTCCAAGCAGCAAGCGGGAGGCGAGCCGGGGCCGGAGGGCTGCTCCATGCATTATTCATCCCAGCTTGTGTGCATGTGTCTGCTCCCCCCAGGTCTGGGGACAGCGTGTAAATAGATTTATGAGTAGAAAGGCAGCACATTAAACAGTTTAAGTGTCTTGGAGTCCATCCTGAAGTGTATTATTGCTCCAGTGTTTTATCACACTGTGGAGGACCGGTCTCCATAAATTAGCCCCGGTGCTGTAAATCGCACAGATCGGAGTTTTAGTCAAGAACTTGGGTAAACAGTTTGTGACAGCGACTGTCACCAGCCCGCATACCCACGGACCACCGGGGAGAGCAAGTCCCAACATGGCTGGGGCATAGGGCAGTGGGTCCAGGGCTCTGCCCATCACCCCTGGCTCAGCTGGGAGAGCAGCTGGCGGAGAAGGGGCCATGCCACCCAGCCTGGGGGACCCGGGAGAGCCCCGACCCCCCGTGTGGCTCCCTTCCTCTT